TAATTGATTGGGGTTCGGACGGAATGCATCAAAGATAGCATCTAAACAATCTCAATAATATATGCCTCAATTCTAAATAGTTGACAAAACTAATTGAATTTCTTGACCCAATGCAACGCACTCCTAAAGACATAGACAATACCTCTATATATTTTTTATATTTAAATGAATTTCCTGACCCAACCTAACCCCAAAACATATAGACTTTACCTCTATATACTTTATAGTAAAATAAATTTCCTTACCTAACCCAACCGTAAAGATATACACTTCGTTCGTATATGCCTTTTATATTAAAATTTATTTTCTATGCTTATTTCTCGAGCTACTGATTTGAATTTCCTGGTAATAGGAATTTACCATGTCATGAAAGCATAACATATAGTGAGAATCTGAAAGATAGCATGAAAATGGAAGGTATAGAGGATACGGTAGGGCTACGACCAAGATATGATTATACGGCAAGCATACGGGAATACAGTCAGGAAATGACCATACGATGGAAACACAGCGGATACCAGGATCCTGGAATTCGGCTTTCTTCCTTAAAGAAAGCCCTCTTCAAATGACCGTTTAGTTTCCCTGTGGAATGTGTATAGAATTGGTCTATCAAGAATAGAAAAGTGTGGTTTTGAAGAAAGAAACGAGAATTCTACGAAACTGCATAGAGTCGATCTGACTTTTAGTTAGGGCTGATTTCTCTATGAATCACTGTCCTCCTTTGACAAAGGATTGTATTCTCTAAGCATGGAGTATGCCCTTCATGAATAGCGCATGAACTGCACAATGAACTATACGAATCTGATCACTGTCTCCCTAATTCATTATCTGAAACATAATCATTCATCTAAACCAAGCAAAGTCTTAGTTCCATTACGAGATATATCTGAATAGAATCTTTCTTTACGTAATTCATCAGGCATGCAATATTTCATCATAAGTTTCGCTGTCACCGAGTACTTCATAATAACATAAATGAACTCGAACTTGGTTAGAATAATTTATATAACATACGCTATTCAATCTTCTGTTCTACTGACATTGGTTGCTTCAGCGAAAAATAACTGAATACGAGCTTGTTTAAGATAATTCATCTATCCAGCGCTGTTTGATTACGAATTCTGATGTTAGCGATCACTTCAGAATAAAATAAATGAACTCGAACTTTATTAGAATAATTCATATAACATACGCTATTCAATCTTTTGTTCTACTGACATTGTTTGCTACAGAGTAAAATAATTGAATACAACTGTATTTAAGATAACTCATCTACCATGCGTTGTTCAGTCTTCTGTTTTACTGTCATCGATTGCTATAGAGTAAAATAATTAAAT